GCTGGATCAGAAGTGGAGCAGTCAGGACTTGAACCAGTGTCCAAATGGGATGCCGGCACTGCAGGCGGCAGCTTTACCTGCTAAGCCACAGCACCGACCCTCAGGGCTGGCCTTATGATGGGATTGGTGTCCTTCTAAGGAAAGACAGAGGGCCTGCCCTCTCTGCCGTGTGAGGACGCAGGGAGCAGCCAGCCGTCTGCCCCAGGAGGAGGCCCCACCCAGAACCTGACCAGCTGGCACCCGTGCTTTGTACTTCCAGCCCCAGAACCAGAGGGTACAGGCAGGGCCCTGTATGCAGCAGTGGAAGCCAAACCAGACCAGTTTCAGTTTGGGTGCCCCCTCCACAGGCAGCCCTTCAGGCCCAAGGTGGTCCATTAGGGTCCCCAGCACGGGCATAGCACGCAGTACCTGCCCCAATGTCTTGGAAGCATCACGTCCTGTCCCTGTCACTCAGGCTGTGGCTGCCTCAGTGGGTCCAGCTGGCGTCTGCTGGAGAAAGAACAGGGCCTCCTGCAGAAAGACACTGGTGCAGACACAGGTGGGGGCTTCTTCCGGGCACTGGACCACCTTCTACTGCTTTCCCAGCCTGTAGCAGAGAGCTGGATCAGAAGTGGAGCAGCCAGGATACAAACCAGCACCCATTTGGGAGGCCAGCATTGCAGGCGGAGGCTTAGCCCACTGCACCACAGCACCCCAGAGCTCTTCCTTCTGACCTTGCACACAGGCAAGGGGTCTTGGGTTAAAAAAAAAAAAAAAAAAAAAGAATGATTACAGCCAAATAAAGTAAGTCTGAAAGGGCTGAGGGACTGTGGGTGGGTGTACGGCATGTGTGTGTCACATTTGCTGTGTGAGCTGGGGTCACTAGGTGGCGCTCCTGCACCACTCACAAAGCAAACCAGCGTTGTTCAAACCCTTCAGTGCCCTGAAATAAGGTGATTATTACCACGAATAACGGGAATTTGCTCCAGGCCCTGCCAGCATCCTCAACCCAAAGGCCCAGGAAGTCCATTCTGACTGCTCGTCAGAAGACGTCAGCGTGGGAGAGCCCGAGGCTGCCCCGTCCCCAGGCAGCGGATGTGTCCTGGACGCACGTGCTGATTGGCAAGCGAGAGTGATCACCAAGGATGCCGACAGCCCCGCCAGCGTGCTGCCCTGTGGGCCTGGGAAGCTGGCTTTGAACTCAGGGCAGCTTGTGACTGCCCGCTCTGCACAGGAAGGGGCAGGCCTGGGGAAGATTCGTGAAGGGCGGTTACCGTGTGAACAGCAGTGAGAAGAGCTGCGAGTGAGGGGTCCCTCCTGACGTCGGGGCTCGGAAGTACCCTGGGGGAGGGGCGTCAGGGAGGAGAAGTGGGAAGCCGGTCCAGGAAGAGAGAATAGCTCGGGCTACACCGTGGTTGGTGTGCGGTTAGTGGTGCGTCTGGGGCTGCATGGCCCCAAGTGAGAAGGGTGAACCCTAACCATAACACCAGAGAGCAAGGGAAATAATGTGCCGGTGGTGAGGACATGGGGAAAGCCGGGGATGTCGCCGGTGCAGCCTGTGTGGAGCAGGGCTTGGCGTTCCCTCAAAAGGATAGGCAGGGGAACGCTGTGCGACCCAGCAATTCCACTTCTTGGAGTGAAGACCCACAATTTGTTGAAACTGCTACTAAAGCAACGGAGTGTGTGTGTGCTGCTAGCAGCATTATGCAAGGTAGCGGGACATTCAAAACAGCCCAGACAAGCTCTGTCCACTGACAGAGGACAGAATGAAGCGTGCGTGGTATATCCCCACACTGCAGCATTGCTCCTGCAAAGAGAGGAGCCAAGAGGCCGGACGCAGAAGGCCCAGTGCGTGAGCTTCCCTTTGCAGGCAAGAAATCCCTAGGGACAGAGAGCAGATTAATAGCAGGGGGTGACACGGGTCCTCACTACCAACAGGAGTTTGCATTCAGGCCAGTGAGGGGGTTCCTGAACTCGATTGTCCTGATGGTTGCACATATGGTGCCTGTACTAGAGTGTATGCGGAAAATCGTTCCAGGCCGGTGTTGTGGTGTAATGGGTACAGGCGCTGTGACACCAGCGTCCCATATGGGCACTGGTTCGTGTCCCGGCTGCTCCACTTTTGATCCAGCTCCCTGCTAAAGGCCTAGGAAAAAGCAGTGGAAGATGGCTCAAGTGCTTGGGCCCCTACCACACTCTCTCTGTGTTGTTCAAGTCCTGTGGGAACCAGTGCATCCCCTCGTGAATGTGTGAGTGTGTGCATGTGTGTGTGTGATGTGTGTGAGTGTGTGTGAGTGTGTGTGTGTATGATATGTGGTGTGTGTGTTATTGAGGGCAGATGCAGGGACTAGCTCCGTGGACAATAGAATTGGAGTTTCAGGCCACTTTCTCTCCCATATCAGCCCTGTTAAAACACTCTGTGCAAACCCCAGATGTCCAAGGCCAAGGATGGAGAAAGGACAGGACTGGAATCGTCCTCTAGAGGTGTCCAGAGCAGTGTCCCCTGGAGCAGAAGAGGTGGGCATGGGCTTAGAGCCACCCACCCTGGCCCCCGCCCCTTCTCCCACTCTGAGCCTGGTGTTGTCCTCTACAATGCAGACACTCAGGACCTCACTCACAGCTGGGGCTGCTGGGGGCACTCAGACATCTGTCTGCTCCTTCTCGCCAAGCTGTGTCCACACCAGGGCTGCTGATCCTGCCAGAGCCGACACACACCGACGTATCCGAGGCGCACTGCCAACCCTGGCTGTGGGAGGTTGTTGTACCTTGCGAAGAATCCTATTAAATGAAACAAAGCTATGCCGACATGCACCTTTTAAAGGGTTGCTTCATCTTCTATGAAATTGTCTAAGGTCCCTTCCGTCACTAGGTGGCAACCTTGAGTCGTAGAAAGTAGTGAACCAGGCACACCTTTAAAAACAGCACTTTACCTTTTCAATTTCCAATTGTAGCAAAATATGTGTAGCTTAAAACTTACTTTGTTGAGAAATATTTCACTAATGTTAATTCTGTAATGAAGAATTTGAGACTTTTAAAAATATTTGTTTTAAAAATTTTTAAAAACGCGAATATTTACCACAATATTCATTTTTAAGTCATTCACCTTCTGCCTTGGTCCCACTGTCTGTCTCCAGTGTCCCTGCATCTTGTAGAACTGAAGGTGTCACTGCTGGGCCTGAACAGGTCCCCAGATACATGATTGAACCCCGTCTCCTGTGGGGTTCCATCCTGTGTATTGAGAGGTGGGGTCTTTTTGGAAGTGACTGACTACGCCCTGAGGCTCCATCCATGGAAGCGGATTAGCATTTCACAGGAGGCCCAGAGGGAACCAAATAGGGATGCAGGGTTGGTCCCTTTTGCCCTTCCCTGCCTTCCATCCTGTGAAAACTCCCTAACCAGGCGGGCGGGCCCTCACCAGCCAGCGGCTCTGCTGGTAGCTTGACCTTGGTCTTCCTACCCTGAGGCCTGAGAGAGAAATTTCTGCTGTTTATGAATTACCCAGTCTGTGACGCTCTGTTTCAGGGGCAGAATCAGACTGGGCCCGCAAGGCTTACACAGCAGCTCAAGGCTCCCCTGCCTGCCATCTCACCTTCTGCTTCTATGAACTGACTGCCCTAGTGGCAAGAGACAAAGGACAGCAAATTTAGCTACAGATCAAACTGGCTTTTGTTTCAAGCTCACTGGTCAGGGCAGCCTCCATTCCACGCAGGAGTAAAAGCTCTACTGGCTGGGAGCAGAGCAGCGAGCTTCCTAAGGCGAGAACATGGAACAGGTCGGTTGAATAGAAGCCTGCTTGGTTTTTTATTTATAACCCACGAGAAGCCGGTTACTCCCGTTGTCTGTATGCACAGCTTTCCCCGCTCAACCTTGGGTGAACGCCTGGGTTGCTCCTGCTTTTGGCTACGGTGAGTGACGCTGCCTCTCTGCAGGAACCTGCTGCCAGTTCTGGGAATTCACACTTCTGGGGCCTCGTGCATTCTGGTTTTGGCCTTTTGAGGATCTGCCTGACTGTCTTCCAGTGGCTGCGTCATGTCACGCTCTGAGCAAAATTCTGTTTTCTGTTGTATAGACACATTAATGATTCCAGTGTGAAAAACCCGGCTCAACCAGAACACAGGGTGTTGGTCAGGAGAAGCTCAGAGGGACAGGAGAGACAAAAAGGCTTTGGGGGAAAGAAAGGGAAGCCGAGTGTGGCTCATTAATTTAACAAAGATGCAAATATAGATGTTCGTAGGGGACTGAGGGAGGGGTGTATGGGAACTCTGTATTACCACCGCACAATGTTTGTCTTGTCAATTTAACATTAATCTGAAATAAAATGTTCGAAAGTAGAAAGAAAGCAAAAGAAGAAGGTATGATATTCTGGTACGTACTGCAGCATGGATGAACACTGGAAACATTATGCTAATGATATCGGAAATGACTCCCTAAAATATATACAAAAATGTGGCCCTTAAAATTCCCCAGAAGTGCCATCTGGGGTGCCACATATGTTACCGGAATTTGGGGTGCCTATGATATCACCATATGCTTATTAATAAATCCCCAATATTAATAAGCCCAAGAGGGTTCATGCCTAATATTTAGAGAATTCTAAATACCGGCATAAATAAATGAGACAGCATGGTACATTTTAAGCTTTATTTAGTGAGAGAAATCATAGGAGAGAGAGAGCTTTATCTAAGAGAGAGGGGTAAATCTGAGTTCATAACGAGCACCAGGAACCAGCCATGTGGAGGAGCATCTAGGCCAGGAAGCCTAGGGCAGGTGGCCCGAAGGCCACACACCCTGGAGGCGCAGGGCTATAGCCAGCCCCCTCCTGGCAAGAGGCTAGGGCAGAAGAGCAGGACACCATGTCCCAGGCTTTTAACCCACTTCCAAAGGGGAGTGGTTAATTAACCTGATTGGCCGGTGGGCACCCAGGTGTGGCCAGGTAGGGGCATGAGGTCTCACAGGGGTGTGGCGAAGGTATCAGGTAGGGTGTGAGGTCACACAGGGGCATGGTGAAGGCGTGGTCTTCCAGCTCACAAACCCAATGGATTTTAACCTGTGTGCCTGCCTACTTCACTAAGTGAGTTCAGCCACACAGGAAAGGACAGAGATTGTGTGATTCCCCCTACACGAGGTACACAGAGGAGTCAAATTTAAAGAATCAGAGAGTAAAATAGTGGTGCGGGGCTGGGGGAGGGGACCGGGGAATTATGATCTGATGGTATGGTTTCTGTTCGGGAGGGTGGACAGGATCTGAAGGTGGACAGTGCTGGTGGTTACACCTAAGTGTGCCCCGGAACATGATCAAAATAGCAGAGTTCATGTTACATAGATTTTACAATAAAGCTTTTTAAAAAATACAGTGTTTTTCATTCTTCAGTAATGACAATTAATAATGGATGTATGTGTCTGCTGGGCATCGTACACACCTCAGACCTTGGAATCAGGCTGAAGCACGCCTCCCTCATTTCCCCACACATGTGGGTTTTCATGTGGCTCTTGTTTTTCTTCACAGCATCACAAAGACATGATGCCAGCAAAGGGCATGCAGAGGGGCAGTGCTGAAACTGATCCTGGGAGCTCGTGGTCCCTGTGGTGTCAGCTGGGCTACATGGCCAGGTCTCCCTCAATATCAAAGCGGCCAGGGTCGCTGCGAGGACAGACGAGCAGGATGTGGCAGGTGTGACTGCAGAAGCTGGTCTGGTTGCCAAGCAACACTCAGTGTCCTTGGAGATGAGTGAGGTGAGAACAGGCAGTGGGGGCGGGGTGTCCTGCCCCAGCCAAAGGCAGCTGCAGAGAATGAGTGATGCGGCCATTCCTTACATTGTGATAACCTCTCTCTCTCTTGTATATTCAGAGTTCCTCCATTTATAGTGTCATGCTTATTGTTTGCATATCTCTTAGTCCAATGGTTTCCAAAATGCAAGAATTTCTGGGAGAATCAACATATTTTTGGGAGGTTGGTAAGTTTCAAGCTATTTCTTTTAGAGCGTTGATAATATTGCAATTTCCTTTGCCAATGTTCTGCCTGATGTGGCTTGGGGAGTGTTTGAATTAAGGAGAACATTCAGAGGATCTTTAAAAATACAAAACAAAGTCACTTTTGTCACTAATTTTTGCTTGAAGAATATAATTATTGTTAATTATATGTAAAATTGTCTTGGGGCTGGTGCTGTGGTGCAATGGGTTAAAGCCCTGGCCTGAAGCTCCAGCATCCCATATGGGTGCTGGTTCAAGACCCGGCTGCTCCATTTCCGATCCAGCTGCCTGCTGTGGCCTGGAAAAGCAGTGGAAGATGGCCCAAGTGCTTGAGCCCCTGCACCTGCGTGGGAGACCAAGAAGATCTGCAACTGCAGGTGGCAGCTTTACTTGCTACACTACAGTGCTGGTCCCCTGTATTTATTTCTTCACTCAACAAAATGGAGGAATCTGGAACACACCATGCTGAGTGAAGTAAGCCAGTCCCAAAGGGACAAATACCATATGTTCTCCCTGATCGGTGACAACTGACTGAACACCAAAAAGGAAACCTCCTGAAGTGAAATGGACACTATGAGAAATGGTGACTTGATCAGCATAGCCCTGACTGTTAATGGACAACTTAATACATTATCCCTCTTAGTATTTTTTTTTTTGTCTGTTCTACTTAATACTACTGGTTTAACTCTGTAATTAACACACAGTTATTCTTAAGTGTTGAAATTTAACTGAAATGTGATCCCTGTTAAACATAAGAGTGGGAATAAGAGAGGGAAGAGATGTACAATTTGGGACATGCTCAAGCTGACTTGCCCGAAATGGTAGAGTTAGAAACATACCAGGGGATTCCAATTCAATCCCATAAAGGTGGCATGTACCAAGGCCATCTCACTAGTCCAAGTGATCCATTTCAGTTCACAATTGATCATAATGAAAGGACTAAGAGTCAAAGGGAGCACATAAACAAGTCTAGTACCTGCTAACACTAACCGATAGAATAAATAAAGGGGAGAGTGATCCAACATGGGAAGTGAGATACTCAGCAGACTCATAGAATGGCAGATGCCCTAAATAGCACTCTGGCCTCAGAATCAGCCCTAAAGGCATTCAGATCTGGCTGAAAAGCCCATGAGAGTATTTCAGGCATGGAAAGCCAAGACACTCTGGAAAAAAAAAAAAAAACTAAATAAAAGATCTCTGTGAGTGAGATCCCAGTGGAAAGAACAGGTCTTCAAAGAAGGAGGTAACTTTCTTTGAAGGGAGGAGTGAACCTCCACTTTGACTATGACCTTGTCTAAACAAGATAAGAGTTGGAGAACTCAAGGGGCTTCCATAGCCTTGGCAACTCATGACTGGAGCATTGGGAGATTACTGATGCCATAAACAAGAGTGTAAATTTGTTAAGTCAACAACAGGAGTCACTGTGCACTTACTCCTCATGTAGGATCTCTGTCCTTAATGTGCTGTACATTGAGATTTAATGCCATTACGAGTACTCAAACAGTATTTTTCACTTTGTGTTTCTATGTGGGTGCAAACTGTTGAAATATTTACTTAATGTATACTAAACTGATCTTCTATATATAAAGAAAATTTAAAATGAATTTTGATATGAATGGAAGGGGAGAGAGAGTGGGAAAGGGGAGGGTTGCGGGTGGGAGAGAAGTCATTGGGGGTGGGGGAACCAATGTAATCCATACACTGTACTTTGGAAATCTATATTCATTAAATAAAAGTTAAAAAAAATCACCTAGCCTGTGTCACATATTACAGACAGCCTTGGGGACAAGGAAGCAAAGCAGAAATAACAGAGGATCCCACATTCAAAACACCTCAGAGAAGGAAAGAAACTCACAGAGAAAAAAAGAATGTATTCAGACAGAAGAGCATTCTGGGACTGAAATGGTGGGGGACAATTTGGCTCCAGCCATATAATTTTCTGTATTTTCCTTAAATGCATCAACCCCAAAATATTCTCGATGTTTATTCTATGACTCCATATTGTCTCTATTTATGACTTTAATAAGAAGCCACCTCTCAGGGAAGTCCTCCATGACTGCTGTCCCGTGAGACTCTTGACGGGCTCACTACCTTCAGTCCATCATGAGACTGAGGCATCTTTTCATAAAATGTATTCAAGAGGCTAAGGGAGGGAGGGAAGGAGGGGAGAGAGAGCGAGAACGAGAGAGACACAGAGAGATTCCACCTGTTAGTTCACTCCCCAAATGCTAGCCATGGTTGGGACTGGGCTGGGCCAAGGTCCAGAACTGGCAACTCCATCCAGATCTGCTACATGGCTGACAGGGACCCAAGTACTTGAGCCAACCCTGGTACCTTCCAGTGTCTGCACCAACAGGAAGCCGGAGTCTGGAGCTGCATCTGGAATCAAAGCCAGGTACTCTGTAAAGGTTCTGAAACTACTAGAACAAATCCCCACTCTTCGAAGCTACTTTATTTGCATTTTTGTACTGTTTTTCCTCCATGGAAATTAAAGATCCTTAGCATGTGGTGGGAAGAACAGACGTGAGGATTTGGATTTCTGCTTCTTCAGATTCTTACTGAAGACTGAAATGCTCCAAATACCAACAGGACCTGTTTTCCTTCCAAGAAGATTTTAAAAATCTCTTTCTGTTGATACCTTTATCAGGGAAGTAAGAACCAAGTGATAGTGATAAAGTGGCGGGAGTTTAAAGATAGAGCAGTAGGGGGCAGCAGGTACTGACTGGACAGGAGACAATGGTGGCGCTGTCCTGTGCATTTGGCCTCTCAATAGCTATTTCCTATCCTGGTTGTGACAACCAAACATGTCTCCAATATTTCCAATGCCCCTTCCCAGTCTACAGGCATCAGGAGGTATTAAACTGACTGTCGCTTTGTTCTTATTCTTGTTTCTCCAGTGAGCTAGAGAAGGCTGATGCCGAAATGTGCTAATTTAAAAGAAGTGGGATTTCTGGAGACCCTAAAGCCATACTTTATTGAAGGAAAGGTAAAAAGAAATAAATAAAAAACGTATGGAATGGAGAGAAAAATTAGGGAGGGAAAGTCAGAGTGAGGGGAAATAGTAAATTCAGAGAGCAGGCTCTTCTAGGGGAGAACTACAGGCAAATAGAGAAAGCCAGACAGAGGCAGGGAGCGGGTGGACCTAGGTAAATCCAGAGGCTGGCCAAGAGGGCTGTCGACACAGTAGGGACAGGGATGTGGCAGCAGGGAGACTGGTAGAGACATTTGACAGAGTGCCACAGAGAAAGACCAGGTCCAAAGGGAAGAGAGACAAAGGAGGAGAGAAATGGCAATGGGCTGGGGGGAGACAGAAGAGAATCTTAGAGAAATGGAGAGAGAGAGAGAGATGAAGAAGGAGAAAAGAGAGAGGACAGGTGAGAGGGAGGAATGGCCGCAGACAGAGAAGGTGCTGTAGCTTCTCTCCCTCTGCCTTCACTTCTCATATCCAGAGAGGACTTGCAGAGGTCTCAGGAGAGCTGGGCAGAGCCTGTGCTCTGGGGTGACGATCCCCTCACCAAACCCTCATTAGTGACGGCCAACTAGGGGTTCTCGCGTGATCCCAGGTTGCTCCTGACAGCCCTGGCCTGGGGCGGTAGGGTGATCAGGGCGAGGAGTCTGGTAATTGCCTCCCCCTCCCTCGGGGACAGGGCTCTCCACGGGACCAGTTAGAGGACTTCAACGTCATCTGTGATGAGACCAGTTTGGGTACTTTGCTGTCATCTCAGTTTCCGGGTCCAGGCACCAGGAAGCCTGGACGCGCCTGCTCTCGTCGTGGAGGAGCCTCTGACTACGCCCTGGGGCGCAGAAGTGAGGCTTTGGGGCCGCTTGTGGAAGGAGGTACGAGGCTGCTGTGAGGAGGGGCATCTGGCAGATTCCTGGGGCAGTGTCTTGTGGCCTGGCCCTTGTGGCTTTTCTGCCTTCTTTGGCGTTAGCCTGTCCACCGTCCACAGCCCTTCAGCCGCTGCCTGTGGTGTTACACCACTGGCAGTCTTCCTGCCCTAGAGCCTTGCCCTCGCCGTCCATCTGCCTGGACTGCCTTCCCAGACCTTCGCCCTGCTGGCTCCTCATCCTCAGGATTCATGGGTCACATTCTCTGGCCCGCCTGCCCATCGCACTGTCTTTGTAACACACAGTCACTCTGCAAACCTAGGGCTAATCATTTCTCCTTGAGAGGGGGGTAGAATCTATCAATTCCCCTGGGCACCCAGTGGCCAGAGGAGATTCCGTCATGGGCTCCGCAGCCGCTTAGTAAGTGTGCGTGGAGTTGGGTAAACAGCTAAGCAGGACCTGCAGTCTGGTGCAAGGTTCCGGGGGTGGCAGACAGACGCAGTAAGCCATGAAAGGCTGGGTAGGAATTAAGGAATCCACACTGCATTAGACCAAGGACCTATGACAATTAGCCAACGCAGGTCAGCCCTTCTGGAAGTCACCAGAATTGAGCTTGGAGGCAGGGAGGCCAGACAAGTGGCTACTGCAGCAGATGGCTCTGGAGCGAATGCCCCAGGAGAACTTCAAGGACCGGAGAGAGGCCAGGAGCCTAGCGTCCTGCATCGTTCTCAGAGGCACAACATTCATTAGGGCCTTATTTCCAGGACCCCAGAGAAAGCTTTGCCGCTCCTCGATGAGAAATCCTGGTGAGTGTTCTAAGTAACCTCTTCCCCGGACGGCGCCCTCAGCCATCTAAACAGGCTGGAGCCTTTCGTCTTTGACCTGGGCAAGCTTCCGCCGCCCTGAGCGTACTGTTTTCCTCACGTGCCCCTAGGCCTGATGCTGCCCTCGCCGAGTTCGAAAATCCCTTGTACAGAGTATTTTCCAGCGGAAAGTTTTGTCTTTCTTCGGGCCCGCCAAAGGAGCCCTGACACAAAAGAGAAAACTAGCAAACGGTCACGGTGTATTGTGTTGAGATGGCAGCAACAAAAACAATGCCCATATAGTGATAACCACAGCAGCAACCAGGGTAATGACTGCAAATATAGCTGTGTGACCGCAAGTCCCTAAGCAACGTGACAGGCATTTTCCTAAGGACTTCGTGCATTTTTAAAAAAGATTTATTTTATCTACTTGAAAGGCAGGGTGACAGGGAGAGGAGAGAAGAAGGGAAATCTTCCGTCCTCTGGTTCTCTCCCCAAATGGCTGCCACCCTGCGGCTGGGCCAGGCTGAAGCCAAAAGCTTGTAAGTCTGGCCGGGTCTCCCAGTTGGGTGCGGGGCCAGGTATTGGGCTGTCTTCTGCTGTCTGCCCAGGCGCACTAGCAGGGAGCTGGGAGCAGAGCAGCCAGATAAGGGATGCCGGGTCACAGGCAGCAGCACCTGACGCCGGCCCTGAGGTGTGTTAACTCTGTCTCCAAGGGAGCCTGGAAGTTATGTGCAGATTGTTCTTGTCTCACGGAGGAGTAAACTAAGACACAAAGAGGCTGCGCCATTTTTCTGTGACACTTCAGAGAAAGCCCAACCCTCTAAACAGGATCCTCTGTTCTCTTTTTCATTTTTTGAAGATTTATTTATTCGCTTGAAAGGCAGTTACAGAGAGAGGTAGAGACAGAGAGGGACAGGTCTTCTATCCTCTGGTTCACTCCCCAGATGGCCGCAACAGCCAAAGCTGGGTTGATCCAAAGCCAGGAGCTTCTCCCGGGTCTCCCATGCAGGTGCAGGGGCCCAAGTACTTGCACCATCTTCCACTGCTTTCCTAGGCACAGCAGAGAGCTGGGTCGGAAGTGGAACAACTGGGACTCAAACTGGCGCCCACATGGGATGCTGGCACTGCAGATTGTAACTTGCTGCACCACAGCGCCAGTCCCAGTCCTCTGTTCTTTTAACAAGCATGTTGTTCAATGCCAGGTCCTGAGGTCAGCCCTGGGCACGCAGCTGCGGACAGAGCAGAGCCTGGGATTCTCAAGAGGAGAGGAGGTGCCCTCTTCAGTCTTCCTGGACGAGCTCTCCTATAGAGCAATGGCCAGATTTATCCGTGCCTCCATTCACGGCAGGCCCTGGTGCTGAGAGGAGGCGCCCAGGGCTGGCTGACCCCGAGATGAACGACACCAGCTGCTGGTCCTGAGGAGGGCGGGCAGGAGGACAAAGGTAGGGGGGCAGCAAGGATTCTGAGGGCTGGAGGCAGGCTGAGGGGCTGGAGAAAGACCAGTGGGCAGATGAGGGGGGAGAGAGCGCCAGCTCTGATACCCCAGCCCCAGAGGCAGCCACACTCTCTAACCTCCGCTTTCCCCCAGGATGGGCCACGCTGCCTGGAATGGGAGCAGGACCCCCGACTTCATGCTCCTGGGGCTGTGGGCCCCGCCTGCCCTGCGACCCTTGCTGTGGGCAGCGCTCCTGCTGGCCTACGTGGCCACCGTGCTGGGTAACAGCGCGCTGGTGGGGCTGATCGCGCTGGACCAGCGGCTGCACCGGCCCATGTACCGCCTGCTGACCCACCTGGCGCTGCTGGACACAGCCTACGTGAGCACCACGCTGCCGCAGGCGCTGGGGCACATGGTGGCGCGCCGGGCCCGCCTCTCCCTGGCGCGCTGTGGGACGCAGCTCTACGTGGGCATCTCCCTGGGCAGCTGCGAGGCCATTCTCCTGGCCGCCATGGCGCTGGACCGCTGCCTGGCCGTGTGCCAGCCCCTGCGCTACGCGGCGCTCATGACTCCCGCGTGCTGCGCAGCTCTGGCCGGCACGGCCTGGGTGCTGGGCTTTGCCTTGTCGGTGCCCAACGCCGCGGCCGCGCTGCGCCTGCCCTACTGCCCCGGGAGGCCCCCGGTGGACCACTTCTTTTGCGAGCTTCCGGCTGTGCTGAGGACTGCGTGCGCAGACACCACTGCCAACCACCTGCTGGTGTACGGCCTGGGCACGCCCATCCTCCTGGTGCCTTTGGCCTTCATCCTCGCCTCCTACGTCCTGATTCTGGCTGCCGTGCGCAAGCTGCCTTCGACCAAGAGCCGCCTCAAGGCCTTGTCCACCTGCAGCTCGCACCTGGCCGTGGTGGGGCTCTTCTATGGCACGGTGACGGCCATGTACCTGCGCCCTCGCGCCTCCAGCACCCTCCCCGCCAGGCATCACAAGCTGGTGGCTGTGTTCTACCTTGTGGTCACACCCGTCCTGAACCCCCTCATCTACAGCCTCCGAAACCGCGAGGTCCACGCTGCAGCCCGCTACGCACTCGCCCGGCTACGGGGAACCCGCACCGCGCTGCGCTGACCCGGTCGCGCTGGGAGCGCAGAGCTGGATGCGCCTCTTGAGTACTGGCATTTCCACTTCCCAGAGCTGTGCTGCGCACCTTTGGTTAACCGGAAGTCAGGAATCTGACTTAAAATTTTAAATTAATATAAAGAGAACAGATTCTATGTAGTCCTTAGATTTTATTTGTAGGCACACGTGCAGCTGACCAGGTGGTAAATATTTATAGCCTGGCCAGCTGCGGGATCTCGGTGGCTGTGGGAGGCAGCAGAGAACTACGGCTGTGTCCCAAAACACTGCGTTCGTGGACACGGACATTGACTTGTACATAACGCTCATGTGTGCAAAATATTATTTTTAACTTTTTCAACTTTAACAACGTGAAAATCACTTTTAGTCCCTGGGCCACGGTTTGCTGGAGCCTGACCTGGGGCAAGGGACTGACCCAATGGTCGGGATTAAATCCAGAATGTCATCCGAGGACTTCCAGCCTTTTGCCACTGCTGTCCAATCAGAGATGTTCCTTGCCCATTGTCACCTGGACGCAGTTTGTCATGGGTCAAGCACTTTTAGGAGGGTCTGTGTGCTGTCACTCAGACTTCAGAATAACCTCACGAGGTGGACGTCATTATGACCCTCCTCTTAGATGACAGTCAAGGCACAAATAAGGAACTCCTGCAGCCAACCCTCATCGTCTTTAATTTCGTCTCCCTTCCCATCCCTCCCCTTCCCCGCTCCTCTTCTTTTTCTTCCTTTGCCATCTCCTCTCCTCCCTCCATTTCTATGTGAGGAAACTTCAAAAAGTTCATGGAAATACAATTGAAAAATGTGTTTTAACAGAAGTCACTATGCACTTACTGCCCATGTAGGTCCTCTGTCCCTAATGAGTTGTGCTATGAGAATCGACTGCCAATTTTCTTCCCAAACTGTACTCTATGTTGAGTGTGTGCGTGGGTGCAAATTGTTGAAGGCTATGCTTAGCATGGAGTTGGTCCTCTGTATATAAATCAAACTAAAAATGAATCATAATGAAGAAGGAGATAGGAGAGGGAGAGGGAGGTGGGATGGGAGCATGGGGAAAAGAGCCACTATGTTCCTAAAGTGGTATCTATGTAAAAATGCATTCATTAAATAAAAAACTTTCTAAAAAAAGAAAAATGTGTGTTTTGCTGCAGGATTTTTTTAAATCCATGCATACAAGGGGCTTTCAAAAAGTTCCTGGAAAGTGCATATTATGAAAAAATGATTTCCATTACCCATGAACTTTCTCAAGTACTTGTAGCTATCTAAATGTATGGGTATTGTGTTCACATCGACGTAGATATTGATTTTGATGCCAGTGCTGTCTTAGATGTGGAAATGGATGTGGATAGAAGTAGGAAGGGGTGAAGTTGCAGGTTTGAGAAATGTCATCCTTCCATCCTGAGATGCTGCTAGTCTCTGCTCTCCATGGTTAGCACTGTCCGTGGCTCACTACACTGATTCACAGCTGGGAAGCAGTCTCATGGGATTCGGGTACAAAGTGAGCGCCCCGTGAGTGGCCCAGAGTCTGCTCTCTCACTCACTCACGTGTTCAATCTACAAACGCACACTGAGTGCTCAGGAGATGCTGTGTAAGATCGCGGGTCCTGGGACGCAGCTCTGTGGCTAGATGAGCAGCATCGGGACCACTAGCAAACATCAGCAATGGCACGAAGAGAACCAGGCACATGCTACTCATGCACAGCACAATTTATGAGTCCTTTCCCAGGCACTTTCAAAGGACCAATTGATTGAACCCATTCAGTAACCCTGTGAAGTCTGCCCTATTTGAATCCCATTTTGTGGGAGAGTAAACTGAGGCACAGAGCTGAAGCAGTGTCTCCAGGATCACACAGCGTGGTGAAAAGCAGGGTCCAAAACCACACGCACCTGCTCCAGGCCCTGTCTTCCCAAGCCCTGGGCTTTAGCATCACATGTACCACGAGCCTGTCTCCTCCCACACCTTCTGTAAGTTCTCTCTATTTGGTCACCAGCAGAACTGGAGCTTTGTGCCATGGGCTTCTTGTCCGTGTACCTGGTCCATGTCCTCGCACCATGTGCCCTAGTCCCAGTGCAGGTTCTCTGGCATGGGAAACAGGGGTGTGGCAAGGACATGGGGAGACACAGGCTGGGGAGCTGGGCAAAGGAAACTCTCAGGGGCCTGAGTGCCAGGGACAGCAGCACGAGTGACACAGCAGTCAGATTCCAGCCCCTCTGGGACGCCCTGGAGAAGGATGCCACGTGAGACCTGGAGTGGGAGAGCCCAGAGAAAGGGAAATGCAATCTCCAGGGAAGCAGAGGTTTCACATCCCCACCCCCCTGCCTCCGCATGGGGCATGGAGGCTGGGCGTTGATAATGAGCAAAGTCCTCTGAGTGCTTTCGTCTTGTGGCCAGAGCCAGAGTGGAAATCCCAGGCTCCCAGGGTCCTTGTCTGGCCGGGAGCGCCTGGATCTGGATTGTAGTTAGAACTCCGGCTCAGTTCCAGCTGGGCTGAGAAGCGGACGGTAAGCAGTCGCCTGAGGAGGGGAAGGGCTCCAGGGTCCTAGGCGGACGAGGGGCTGGGGCTCTGTCTGTCTGCGTGGTGCTGGGATGACCACACACCCTTTCCAGACATTGTTGATAGTTTGTAACCATGAATCACTGGTGATTATTCTTTGATGGTGGTGATGAGGGTGAGGATGATGAGAATGGTGTTGGTGACTATGATGATGGGGATGAGGGTGAGGATGGTGGTGGTGGGGATGAAGGCCATGGTGGTAATGACGGTGGTGATGTGGGTGACGAGATGATAACTACCGACTTCTATTGAATAATTGCTGTGTCACAGTACCCACGGCTAGAACATGACCTCTGCGAGTACTCAGGCTGCGATAGGGGTGGCTATTATGCTTATTATCAGCGTGCAAGGGAGGGAAGAGAGGGTCAGAGAGCTTAAGTCACTGTCACAGCTGGTGAACGGCAAGTTCAAAGGCAAGTTTCCATGTCCCCCGGGGGAACCTGCCTGTGAACATATATTACGACTTCCCTTTTGCAGATGAGGGGACGGAGGTCGTTGCAAGGTTAAGTCACCAGCCCAGGGTTGTGCGTCTCACTGGAGCCCTTGCTCTGGGCTGTTCTCACTCCACAGCATTTGTCTGGAGAGTGGAGCTCTCTACCTCCATCCCCTCATAGGGAGCATTGTACCCTTGATGCTGTTTGCAACAGACCTCTGTTTAGGTGAACAACCCCAAGGCCACAGCTCCTTTTCTGCCCACAGGTGAGCATCCCAGGTGTGTCTGGGGCTGCCTGGCAGGAGATGCTGGGCTGTGTCCGACCACATGTGAGGTTTGTCATCCCTGACGCAGGCAAGGATAGGGGTGTTGGGCAGGGACACTCACAGTCTGTGCCCTGAGTGTAGATGGCAGGAGGAATGCTTCCAGAGAGAGCATTCTCAACTAGAGAGCTCGCCTCTGCATGTCGGGGATAGAGGTGGGCACTTGGGGCTCGGTGGTGGCCAAGGCAGAGAAGGTCCCTCAGAGTGACTGGGAGCCTTTGTCGTATTAAAATGGTCTTATTGCTTTGAGACCCATGGTTACTTTACTGCAGGGAAGTTCCCCAAAGATCCACCAGGATTTTCATTCATTCTCATTCCCCCCCCCCCCCATCTACCCATTGTCTGTCGCTCTATCTATCTGGAATGTAGATAGATTGGCAACTATAACTGGTAGCTTGCAGGTGAGACCCGCCAGACAGAGTGTTGGCACTCTTCTCATTCAAACTGCACAAAGGCACAGACTAGAAGCAATGTGGGTACAGCATTTCCCACACTTCCCCATGCACTCAGACAGCCTGGACCTCTTGATAAAGGCAGGTTTTGACCCAGTGCATCTGAAGAAAAATAAATAGCATCACTCTGGGAAGCCATTTAATTTTTAAGACTTATTTATTTGAAATCAGAGTTACAGAAAGGGAGAGACGGAGATCTTCCATCTGTTGCTTTGCTCCCAAGATGGCTGCAGTGGCCAGGGCTGGGCCAAGCCAAAGCCAGAGGTCAGGAGCCAGGAGCTTCTTCCAGGTCTCCCACAGAGGTTCAGGGGCCCAAGCACTTGGGCCATCTTCTGCTGCTTTCCCAGGCTATTAGCAGGCAGCTGGATCCAAATTGGAGTAGCCAGGATACTAACTGGAGCCTCTAGGGGATGCCGGGTTGCAGGCAGCGGCTTTACCTGCTACACCACAACACCCGTCCATGGTGGCTGCTTTCTGTAAGTTGTCTGGTACCATCTTTGCTTCACAACTTACTCTTTTTGTAGGTGTAGTACTTTGTGAATAGTTTCCACTTTTCCTCTTTGACCACCACACACTGTTCCACGGCGCTGGGCCATAACTGCTGCCACCATGAGTGTCCCCTGTGCGCTTGGAATGGAGTGTAAGGATCCAGGCACCTGCTGCCCCATCGTCCCGACAGGATTCAGTTCTTTAAGATCTCGGGGGCTGTTTTGTGCTTGCAGACAACGTGCATTGGCAGGAGTGGGTCACTCCATGCCCAGGCGGGGGAAACCTTATTACCACCGCTTCCCAGGTGAGAACACAGGCACACAGGTGATGGGACTCGCCCGTTTCCCAGCTGAACACACCTGAATTTCTGTCACCAAGACCCCATACCACAGTTGCCACCCCAGGTCACATTCATATATTTTCCTAGTTGGTTGATTGTCCAATCTTTCCCTCCAGCCCGCGGGTGTTTCTGTTGAAACTTCAGGTCAGGACCTCAAATCCAGTTTGAGCAGGATTTCTTAGCCTGGGTCCTATTGATATTTGTGTAGCAGGAGTTGGAGGGTGAGGGAGGGGCTTCCTGTCTGACCTGGAGCACGGTTAGCAGCCTCCCTGTTATCCACCAGGTGTCAGTAGCACCCCAGTTGTGATAAAGAGAAATGTCACCATAGAGTGCCAAGTGTCCCCTGGGGACAAAATCATGGCCAGCCAAGAACCCTCAACCTAGAGGGGCCTGTTGTGTGCAATGTGGATAGTTATAAACATTTCCCTGTGCACAATAACATACCTTCCTCCCTCTGCCGGGCTAGGGCCTTCTGACTGCATTCTTTTAATTTTTATTTTTTAAAGATTTGTTTATTTGAAAGGCAGAGCTTCAGAGAGGCAGAGTTTCAGAGAGAGAGAGAGAGAGGTCTTCCATCTGCTGGTTCACTTCCCAGATGGCTGCAACGGAGCCAGGAGCTTCTTCCTGGTCTCCCATGCAGGTGCAGGGACCTATGGACTTGGGCCATCTTCTACTGCTTTCCCAGGCCACAGCAGAGAGCTGGATTGGAAGTGGAACAGCTGGGACTCGAACCGGGGCCCATGTGGGATGCCAGCACTGCAGGTGGCAGCTTTACCCACTACGCCATAGTGCCCACCCACATTCTTACTTCTTATGTGTTGCTCTCTTTATTTGGTGTAGTGTTAAGCCCTTGACTGTCATGTTAATTAAAAACATGTTATCTCAATTATTAAAAAAGAAAGAAGGAAAGGAAACAAGAACTCCCTGTGAAATCTGTCTTTAAAAACAGAAGAATAGATTAGAGCGAAACAGAACATAAAATTCCCAGATTCAGCGTACGCAGTAAGAGCAGCCGCTTTCCTCCGTGGACTTCTATGTCAGCTCTATGTGGACCAGGAAGCGTGTCCTGGGTCACGGGGAAGGCCACGTTTCTTCCTCTGCCTCACAAGGGCCTGCCTTCGGGGGCAGCGCCGTGGACTTGATCGCAGGCAGCTTCGTTCCCACAGCTCAGAGCCGCGTCACAGGCGCTCGGCAAAGGTCCCGCAGGTGCCGCAGGAAAACCAGCACCGGGCAGTAGTTGGAGGAAGACTGGAGCAGAGGGAAAGAGGTCTCAGGACAGGACGGGCTCACGCCACACGGCACACACGCGGGGGGATTCACAACCAGGGGACAGATGGTAGGGGATGACTCGGAGAAACACTGTAAGAGGGGTTTTGTGGCTGATCTGACTTGCGATTCTCGCTACGGCCAGCAGGGGGCGCCCGCACCAGGCTCAGAGGGATGAGGAATTTGGTCACAAGTCCAAGGTGAACCGGCTGGACAGAAGCTGTAGGGCAGCTCCAGGCCATGGCAAAGCCTGGAGGCCGAGTGAGGCCTGCCTGGCTGCCGCTCAGGGGGGCTCCTGTCCCGGGGCAGCGAGGTGGGCAAACCCACCCACACCCACCTGCCCCAGTGCCACCTGGAGGTGTGGTCCTCTCTGCCCGGGCTCCATTCGGAGATGGGGAGCCTTCTGTTCTGCCCAGGGCCATTTGGATATTTGTCACATCATTCTTGCACTGTACAACATCAGCAACTCAAAAACGAGCCTGCTGCAGGTGCGTTGGTTTGTGAGGCTTGCCTGCAGCTGCCTTCACAGGGCCGGACCCGGCGACTTCCCAGGCTTCACAAGGCTGTGGCCAGACCTCCCCTCCCCGGGAAGACCCTCCCAGTTCCCTCCACTTGTGTGGGAGAGATGGTGCCGCTTTTCTCTGCTGCTGCTCCGGAAGGACGCAGATTTTACTGGGCATTATCCGTGTACCAGGTGCTCTCCATGTGCCACAGACTAAACGAGGCAGGAAAGTCCATGGATGCAGCACTCGCAGGGCAGCCGGCAGACACCAGCCAGGAAAAAACACGCAAAGCAACTCCAGAGGCTGTCATCCTGACCAGTGTGGGCCTGAGTTTTCCGGGAGTGGGAGAAGGACCCTCTGAGGAGGGGGCCATCGTAGCTGATACCTGCAGAGAGAGAAGGAAGTGGGAGAGGAAGATCTTGAGGTTGGAGCAGTAGATGCAAAGGCCCTGGGGTGACAGGAAATGTAGGGGTTATGGACACCGAGGCTGTCTCTGAGGCTGGGCCCTGGGAGGTGGGGATGGCGACATAGCCAAGAACCAGGGCACAGAGATCCTCACACAGGGAGACACAGGGAATAGCGGGTCGTGGGGGAAGGGACCACTACGTGCCAGGCCCCAAGGAGGGACAAACCCTGGTGCATGGATCAGAGAAACAGGCAGCGGCCAGGCCAGCAGCTGTGGTCATTGGACTTGGTCCCACGTCTCCAGGCCGTTCAGGGGGCGCCCTACCCGGGCCACCATCAGACCTGCCATTGCATACGACCCCTCCCAGGTTCGCGCCATGGGGACAGGGCCAGGCAGGCGCAATTCCCCGGCTCACCGGCCTCTCCCTCCCCACCTTCCCGCAGGCTTCCTTCCTTCCGCGGCCAGGCGAGGCCCCCACGCGCCCCAGGGCCCCATGCCCGAGTCCTGGGCCAACGGGAGCCTGGCCGGCGACTTCGTGCTGCTGGGCTTCGCGCACGTGCCCGCGCTGCGGCCGCTGCTCGCGCCCCTCTTCCTGGCCATGTTCCTGCTCACGCTGCTGGGCAACGCGCTCATCGCGGCGCTCACCGGCCTGGACCCCGGGCTGCGGGCGCCCATGTACTTCTTCCTGCGCCAGCTGGCGCTGCTGGAGATCTGCTTCTCGCTGGACGTGGCGCCCCGCCTGCTGCTGACGCTGCTGCGGCCTGGGCGCGGCGTGGCCCCCGCGGCCTGCGCCCTGCAGCTGCTGCTGGTGCTGTCGTGCGTCACGTCCGAGTGCTTCCTCCTGACCGCCATGGCCTGGGACCGCTACGTGGCCATCTGCAGGCCCCTGCGCTATGGCGCCATCATGAGCCCGCGGCTGTGCCACCTGCTGGCCGCCGCCTGCTGGCTGGCGGGGGTCCCCGTGGCGCTGGTCTTCACCGTCTGGCTCTTCAGCTTCCCGTTCTGCGGGCCGCGGGGCATCCGCCACTTCTTCTGTGACATCGCCCCCCTGCTGAGCCTGGTGTGCGCAGACACCAGGGTCTTCGAGGGCTGTGTGTTGGTGGCCACAGTGTTGATTATGATCCTGCCCTTCTGTCTGATAGCCATGTCCTACGTCCTGATTCTGGCCACCGTCCTACAGATGCCCTCGGCCACAGGGCGCCACAAGGCCTTGTCCACCTGTGCCTCCCACCTCATCGTGGTGGTTCTGTTTTACGGCACCACAGGGGTCATCCACTTGCGTCCCAAGGCCAGCTACTCCCCAGAGAGCAAGCAGGTGGTGTCGCTGTCCTACACCCTGGTGACGCCCATGCTCAACCCCCTCATCTACAGCCTGCGGAACAAGGAGGTGAGGGCTGCACTGGGGCGCGTGTGTGTTCAGAGAAGCCCCCGTGCTCTGTGACCTTGCACAAGGACTTTATCCGGCCATTGCCGTGCACTCCTTCTGGAGCGATCTGGGAGCACCTCAAGGCACAGCAGTGGGAACTCTTTGTCTTTCTCCTCCTGTGCGTCTCCTGCTGGCGTGGGGTGATGGCGCCACGCCCCTGGATATCTGCCTTCAGCCGTCATCCTTCTCATGAGCTCTGTTTGTGGAGGACGCTCTGTCCCTCTGTGCTGCTGGAGCACGAACCAGATCCGCATTCCAGCCGCAGTTGCAGCACAGTTTCTGTTGAAGCAGCATTGCCAGCTTGGGTGAACGAAAGCACAGCACCTAGGCGAGCTTTGATCTCAGCTGAGTAAGAAATTGGTCGGGTCGGTGCCGCGGCTCACTAGGCTAATCCTCCGCCTTGTGGCGCCGGCACACCGGGTTCTAGTCCCGGTAGGGGCGCCGGATTCTGTCCCGGTTGCCCCTCCTCCAGGCCAGCTCTCCGCTGTGGCCCGGGAGTGCAGTGGAGGATGGCCCAAGTGCTTGGACCCTGCACCCCATGGGAGACCAGGATAAGTACCTGGCTCCTGCCATCGGATCAGCGCAGCACGCCGGCCACAGCGGCCATTGGAGAGTGAACCAACGGCAAAGGAAGACCTTTCTCTCTGTCTCTCTCTCTCACTGTCCACTCTGCCTGTCAAAAAAAAAAAAAAAAAAGAAAGAAAGAAAGAAAGAAATTGGTCAGAAGTAGCTCCCATATTCTGCCTTCTTGCAATGATTTCTGAGTGTAAGTATGTCATTTGCTAGGAGACAGGGACAAGAGTAGCTTGTTTCTCTGCAGGTAAAATTTCACTTGGATGTCCTGCACTTCGTTGGGCCACAGCACTTGGAAGTGTGTTGATTTCCTGCAGCTGCTGTAAGAAATGTTCACAGGCTCACACTGTTAGCACCTTCAAACCCTGATCTTGAACTTCCAGCTCCCAGAACAGCAGGAGTGAACTTCTGTCATGTAAATCACCCAGCCCGCAGTACTTTGTGATGGAAACACTTGGAAAGTGTTGCACCTGGCTTCTGCCTGTTCCCTGTTATGGTCTCCTGCACGTCCTGCGGGTAAACATCCCAACCTCTAAAGGAAATCTACCCCAGACTTTCCCAACTCCGCATCCCCACTTCTAGAACTGTCACAACTGAAATCTCTGAGGACATGTGTGAGTTCTTTGTCTCACACGAAAGAAGAATTTCCAAGCAGACGGCACAGAGATTTAAAAGTATTTATTAGAATCAAGGACAAACAGGCCACCCCTCCTTGGAATCTCCAGATTTACCATGAAAATAGCGAGGGAGCTGTTCCTGAGCTCACAGCTTAAGGTGCAAACAAGTTGCCTACCCCACCCTTAGCAGGCCAGACCGGATGGAGAATTGTAAATCAGGTCCTTTGTTGAGTTAATCTCCACTTTGTTGATTGACAGTTTGGTCTCCAAGATTGTACTTAAAAACCGGAATGCTATGAGGCTTTTTGGGTTCTTTCTTCTCTGGGAAGCCCCCTCCACGCCACTCCAGCTGGGGAAGGAAGCAAATATTTTACACCCCAAATTTCACTGATGTAGAATCAGAATCAAAATGGAGTGTGTGGCTAAGAGCTAACTACAGATCTCTTGCTTCTGTACATATTAGCTTTGCTCGCTAATGACTAAAGGTGTCTCTTGTGAAACTCTGTGGGCCCAAATTCCCAGGAACTAGGTTGACAGAAATGTGTCCTTCACTGTTATCTTACAGCCATATCTTGGATCTGCTATTGGGTTTGTTATTGTTAACTGTTATCTTACAACCATATTCTGGTTTTCTTTTTGTTGTTCACTGCATACCAAGGGCCCCGTTGGAAATTGTGAGCCCTAGAGGACAGAGTACTATAAAAAGCTGTGTAACCCACTGTTGGGGGCCGCACTCTGGTAAGGAGTGTTGGTCCCGATCAGTAGCCAGCCCCGATCGGTTACCTTGCCTCTCATTTGTCTTTCATTTGCTTCTCATTTTCAATAAAATTCATGTGTGACTGTTACTGGTTTTTGTAATACTCTATTTTAGCTGATGAGTGGATGCAACATTGGGATCTCTTGACTACCTATTAACCCATCTGACTCCTCACAATGGTTCACATCTGCTGCTCACTAAACTCCAAATCTATGGTTTCTTCTACTTATCCTCAGCATCTGTCAGTACGTCTAATATGTGTCAGTCACCCAGTGAATGTTCACAGAAAGAATGAATCAAGAAGGAATACAGGCAGACTTCTCAGGACGCTGTCTCCTCAGGAGTCCTGAGGTGTCCTTTCAGAGTGACCACAGGGCAGCAAGCATTGGCATCGTGGCCTGAGGCAACGCCCCTTGATGGAGAAGGAATCTTGAGGTCAGTGCATGCATTAGGAAACTCCATGAAGGATCAAAGATTTTATTAGGGCAACTTGCCTATGGCATCAAGATGGGCAGAGGGGGATCTGAACAGACGCTACAGCAACACTATTTTTTTCTCTGTTCAGAATGGCAGAGGGGAAAGCTATTTTACATCCCTAAAAGGGATATGGAGCAGGAACTTTTAGGAACAGCATTCCTTTGGGGCCAGCACTGCGGTATAGTGGGTAAAGCCACTGCCTCCAGTGCTGGCATCCCACATGGGCACCAGTTCGAGTCCCGGCTGCCCCACTTCCTAGCCAGCTCTCTGCTGTGGCTTGGGGAAGCAGTAGAAGATGGCCCAAGTCTTTGGGCCCCTGTGCCTGTGTGGGAGACATGAAAGAAGCTCCTGGCTACTGAATTCAGATTGGCTCAGCTCCAGCCGTTGCAGCCATTTGGGAGGTGAACCAGTGCATGGAAGACCTCTCTCTCTCTCTCTCTCTCTCTCTCTGTGCCTTCTCTCTGTAACTCTGATTTTCAAATAAATAAATAAATCTTAAAAAAAAAAATAAAAAGAACAGCATTCCTTCATGCTTTAGGAGCTAGCCCCCAGGCATCCTACAGGTCTTCCCAATCTTATAGGACAACTTGTTCATGCCTAGGGGGTGGTGCCAGCAAGGCTAGGAGGTGGTAAGTGTCCTCTTGAAAGAGAGAGGGAGTGGGGAAGAGGCCAACCTCAGTGTATGGACTTTGCTGGGCGCATCCAGAGCTGGGGGTTCCTGCTGCTTCTCCAGACCCAATTCCCAGTACTGAGAACCGTGCTCATCCTACAGCACCCCCCCCCCCCCCCCC